GTGTTGGGAGATATTGGAAGGTTCGTTTTCTCTGTCAACTATGCCTGATCAAGTTATATTCTATCTCGAGGGACCTCCATCTGGAGCTGACCTGCTCATAAAGTCCGTAATGATCACATGTCCTAGTTCTACTGCTTGTGATGTAAGTCCAATGCTATGTCCATATTAATTCCTTCTTTTTCTATTTTGTCTAGAGATTACTCGAGTTTATTCAAACTTTGTTGTATTACTGAAAGGATTTTCTCCTTATTTTAATAGAGATCTGGCACATCATCTGTTTCGACCGATGATGATAACATTATAGTAAACCCTCAATTTGATGATGGTATCAATAGTTGGTCTGGAAGAGGCTGCAAGGTCGCTTCGCATGACTCTATGGCAGATGGGAAAATCACTCCAATGTCTGGAAAATACTTTGCATCTGCAACGGAACGCACACAGACCTGGAATGGAATTCAGCAAGATATAACCGGAAGAGTGAAGCGAAAGCTTGCTTATGAGGTAACTGCTGTTGCCCGGATCTATGGTAACAATGTCACAAGTGCAGATCTTCGCGGTACATTATATGTTAAAGCAGCTGATAACCGTGAACGGTACATTGGAATAGCCAGGTGGGTGAATCAAGTCCCCCTTATATAATGTGCATATAATAATACTTATGGTATCTACTATCTTATCATCAATTTGTTTCTTCTATCCTTGCAGTATCTTCTATATTTTATCATCTATTTTTTGTTTTCTGATCTTGGAAACCATTCAAACTGCATTTAAAAAGACAAAAATTACTGTTATCTCTCTTTTTGCACTTCTATAACAGCTCATGCATCGTAGGGTGATGTCAACATAATCAACTTTGTTCTGTTGAAGGAATTTCTGATTTTGACTGGTTCTTCTGTTCCATATCTATGTGGATAATCATCTGTGCAATAGTCAGAAGCATGTGTACTGTTGTAACTTCAGTTTCTAGAGTTTGATAACTTTTCAATTCTAAAACAGATAGATAATATCTTTTGACATTGAATTTTGCAGTCCACTTGGTTCGTTTCGAAACAAAGACAATTAAAATGTGGTGCTTTAATTGATCCCTTTCTTCTTTATCCGTGTTTTGATTTCCATCTTCCATTTACCATGTATATTAATGTTTCGTCTGAAGTGTTTTAACAAAATCTAGTGGTATGTAGTGTCCAAGCCACAGACAAAGACTGGGTGAAGTTGCAAGGGAAGTTTCTTATAAATGACTCGCCATCTCAGGTTGTTGTCTTTCTAGAAGGTCCACCTCCTGGCACGGATATCCTCCTTAATAATTTAGTCATAAAGCATGCATCTAAAGCTCCTCCATCTTCTCCACCAGTAATTGAGGTTAGTTGAATTACTTTAAATTTGGAAGCTGCTGTTTTTTTTTTTTTAAATTTACCTTGAGCTTGGTGATAGGATATTATAGATGAACTTGAAGCCCAATATTTTCTGAGAACATGTTAGTTTATGCCACTTAAGCTAGCTAACTGGCAATTAAACTGTTGATCTGTTTAAACATTAAATACTTTCATGTTTCTCCGACCATTACCTCTCCGCACGACATTTGACGACGTTCTATCTCATTTTTTCATCTCTTTTAGGATGCTGCTTTTGGTGTTAATATAATCACAAATACTAGTCTGAATGACGGCACAAATGGCTGGTTCCCACTAGGAAACTGTACAATGAGTGTTCAAACAGGCTCACCACATATAATGCCTCCAATGGCTAGAGATTCCCTTGGTGCTCATGAGCCTTTAAGTGGCCGTTACATTCTGGTTACAAAGCGTACTCAAAACTGGATGGGTCCAGCTCAGATGATCACAGATAAAGTAAAACTCTATTTGACATATCAAGTATCTGCATGGGTTAAAATTGGACAAGCATCAGGACCTCAGAGCGTAAATGTTGCCCTTGGAGTAGATAGCCAATGGGTGAATGGGGGCCAAATTGAGATCAGTGACGATAGATGGCATGAAATTGGAGGATCTTTTAGAATTGAGAAGCAAGCAGCTAAGGTTATGGTTTATATTCAGGGTCCTGCTGCTGGTGTAGACCTAATGGTTGCTGGGCTTCAAATTTTTCCAGTAGACAGACGTGCGCGGTTTAGACACTTGAAGAGGCAAACTGCAAAGGTAATACATAATTCTTTGTTCATGGTAATTTCACTTATTGTGTTTAAGTAATGATCATCAGTTGTTTTGAGGCGTTTCATCAGTGAAGTCGTCCCTGTTTTAGTGTTAGAGCACTGCCTTTGAGTATAAATATGCAATTTATTAAACGTTTATAATAAAGACTCTCTCTCTTGCCCATGTTCTTCACAGATACGCAAGCGAGACGTCATGTTGAAGTTCTCAGGATCAGATTCAGGCAGTTTGCATGGCACATTTATTAGAGTTAGACAACTGCAAAACAGCTTCCCCTTTGGATCAGCCATAAGCAGAACAAACATGGACAATGAAGACTTCAATGCCTTCTTTGTCAAGAATTTTAATTGGGCTGTGTTTGGAAATGAGCTGAAATGGTACTGGACAGAAGCACAACAAGGGAATTTCAACTACAAAGATGCTGATGAGCTCCTGGACTTCTGCACAAAAAACAACATTCAAGTTCGAGGTCACTGTATCTTTTGGGAGGTGGTGGGCACTGTTCAGGCATGGGTGCAATCCTTGAACAAAAACGACTTGATGACGGCTGTTCAAAACCGTCTGACAGGACTGCTGACGCGGTACAAGGGAAAGTTCGAGCATTATGATGTGAATAATGAGATGATGCATGGTTCTTTCTACCAAGACAGATTGGGTAAGGAAATCAGGGTAAACATGTTTAAAACTGCACATCAATTAGACCTTTCCCCCATCCTATTTGTAAATGACTACCATGTTGAGGATGGCAGTGACACCCGATCTTCCCCTGAAAAGTATATTGAGCATATTCTTGATCTCCAAGAGCACGGTGCACCTGTTGGAGGAATAGGAATTCAGGGACATATTGACACTCCTGTTGGACCCATTGTATGTTCTGCTCTGGACAAACTTGGTATTCTTGGACTTCCAATTTGGTTCACTGAAGTTGATGTGTCGTCTGACAATGAATACGTTAGAGCTGACGATCTAGAAGTTATGCTTCGGGAAGCTTATGCCCACCCTTCTGTAGAAGGTATAATGTTGTGGGGATTCTGGGAGCTGTTCATGAGTCGACCAAATGCACATTTAGTGAATGCAGAAGGTGACCTCAATGAAGCTGGAAAAAGGTACCTTTCTCTTAAGCACGAGTGGTTGTCTCATTCTCATGGTCATATTGATGAACAAGGGCAGTTCAGCTTTAGCGGATTCCATGGCTCCTACGAAGTGGAAGTCATTACAGTTTCGAAGAAAATCACCAAGAAATTTGTGGTTGACAAGGGTGATGGCGCTCTGGTGATCTCTATTGATTTATAGTCATGTTTTAACTCAATTTATCACCCTACTTTATGATTGTTTGTTGTGCAAAAGTTGTGCTCATGCCTTCCATTATCCATCCTGTGCATGAGTCTTTTACAAATTGCGTCATTTGTTTATTTTATTGTATATTTTCAAGTGAGTAAATAAAGAAAGATTTCATGTGATTATATAACTGCAATGAATTAGTTCATCATTATTACCCTTATTTCACGAGTCTGTAACCAGGTTGAGAGACCGTTTCTTAGGAGTTTTTAATTGAAAGATTGTTAATAGCAACCTTACAATCTGAACAAGTCCTTCACCCTGACCTTTGCTTGCTTAAAGTCATTCCTGAAAATGAACAAAACAGATAATCTCAGTCATTGTATTTAATCAATCATAATAACAGTATGCTGCAAGCAATGGGAATTGGTATGAAAATCAGTAAGACACTAGCAAGCCATTTATGGCAAAAGACTGAGTAATTAAGACTGATCCCAGGCCATTGATTGGCCTATTTCATGTGTCTATAAAGCTGCCTGAACCACTCTTGGTCCATTTATTTTTTTTGTAAGGTCGCACAAGTGCTCTGCTTTTCTGGTAGTGCCAATGCCAAACAGAAGAATCCAGCTAATGCAATACCGAAAAATGGGAGACTCGGTACATGAATTGTTCGTAATATATTTACACCAAGAAAATGATCATAGAAAATAATATAAGGATCACTCTAACAGTATACTCAAGTTGTGAATCCCCGATAGATAAAGGATCACATATATAGGATTCGAGTCAAAGCTAGTGTGTTCAAATGAACCCATAATTAGTACTCTACATATGTCACTCATTCATTTTTCCCCAGCAGTTTGCTAGGAAGGCTGGAAATTTTCCAACATTTGGACCGCATATATAAGATAGTTGATAACTACTAGAAATGCTAGTTGTATGACTGAAGTTCACTCCAAAAAATAACTAAAGAAAACCATTTCAGTTTCCGTTTTATTTGTTGAAATCTGGGATCACAGGGAAGAAATGGAAAAGATTCATTAATAAAGAGGTCGTTTGGTTTAGAGACAAGTTACATAGGATTGTAAAGTAGGTGTTAGTAGTGCAGGGATTGTAATGTGGGGATTAATAATTGATGAATTATAATATAAAGATTAATAATGCATGAGTTGTGTTACACAGCGCCTTCCTGAGATTTCTTGGAAAGGTGACGTAAGTCTAAGCAACCGTTGTCCGTGCAGTAACTATTCGCCAACTGGGGTCCCCTCCGTATGCTAGACGAGACTGTCAGTTCCGTTTGGGAAAACCAATACCAAGAGCAATTAAGAGAACAAAAAAGAGAATTGAGGAGATTTCGACAAGATAGGCATGCACTATCTCCAAATTTCGCTTCCATTCCTTCGAGAAGCTAGCAGTTCAAGGAGATTTTGACATGTTTGAGGCATTCACAGTGTGTGGGAGTAGCGGTTGTTGTCCAGTAACAATTTCAAAAGCGCTTATGTTTGTACTAGAGCTCTTTTGTGAATTGAAACACAGTTGAGCAGCATCCAAAAGCTTCACTCAATTCTTCTGCAATCCGGTAACAAAATGACGGTGGTATTCCTCCAGCATGCCATTGAACCGCTCCGTCTGGCCATCAGATTGCGGATGAAAACTTGAACTGTGGCTCAACTTTGACCCGAGGCACTTAAAGAGCTGAGTCAAAAAGTTGCTAGTGAAGCGAGAGTCGCGATCACTAACGATGTCTTTAGGCAGACCCCAATATTTGACAACATGAGAGAAGAAGAGTTGAGTTGTATCTTCTGTTGATATATATTTTGGGGCTACTATAAATGTAGCATACTTGGAAAACCGATTTACCACAACCAAGATAGTTGTGAGATCTCTGACCTTGGGCAATCCAGTGATAAAATCCAGTGAAACACTTTTCCAGGGTCTCTTTGGAACAAGCAATGGCTCCAAAAGTCCCGCTTGTGTCAAGCGGTCTGACTTATCTTTCTGGCATACTAGGCAAGTCTTCACATACTGCGCAACATCATCAGCCATTTGAGGCCAATAATAAGCACGGCGCAATAATGCCATGGTGTGTTGATCTCGTCCAATTTCACTCCTATATTTGAGGATATGAAAACAGTCGATGCAATAATAATACCCAACAAGGAGTCGGGGTCGATTTTTCACAGGGAGCTATGAATGGGTCTTAGGGATATATATTATAGTGTATAAACTTGAATTATTTCAAGTTGCACTTCCACAAAATTTGGTCGTTTCTAGGTCTAATTTTAACATTTTAAACTAAGATTACAAACTAAGAATTTAAACTAGGAAATTGTTTTTGGTTGTTTTTCAATAAAAGGCCTAGGGCTATGACCTTCACCTAGGTATTCGCTTAATGGGTTGTAAACCTTAAAGCTTTTTTTATTGGTCGGGGGTATTTTAGCGATCAACACTCAAATACCCACTCAATACCTCTCGGTCAAAGAGTGATTTTGCCCAATTTGGCTTTCTCAAGTTCAAATGGGTATTGAACAAAGCAGTTGATAATAAGCTCAAGTCGGGTTTTACTATCTTTATATTCAACCCTTTAATTGGGTTTATCAATCTCTCGATTGACCCAATTTCGTGCTAGCCAAGTTTTCCTAAACTAAGTCTCTCTTTCTCAAGTAGAGACCGAGTCAATAGGTATAAATAATGTTTGCAACCATTAAATCTTCAATTAAAAGCAAGAACAAGGCTAGATAATCAACACCCAATCATAAACAAGCAATAAGCCAAACACCCATCAAATTCACACACTAGGGATGGATCACAACCTTAGTGAAAATCTAGCTACTTATGCTTAAATCCGAAGATAAAGAAGAGAAAGTGATAATTAAAACCATATTAATGACTAAAATGATAAAACTAATATTCAAAAAGCTCAAAATAGCTAAAACTACTAAAAAGAAGCAAAGTAAACGGCTGTTGATGTCAAAAGTTCGAAACGTTGCCCTAAAAAAATGAAACTATTCTATTTATACAGCTTGGCAGGATTGAACTTTTTCGGCCGCACAATTCCATGTGTGGTCCGCACTTTTCTTCAGCTTGGCAGGATTGGACTTTTGCGGTCGCACAATTTTGAACTGTGATCGCATCTCTCTCGTTTTGCGGTCCACACATTTCTGAGTGCGGTCGCACATCTCTCTTTCTGTAGTCCGCACATTTCTGAGTGCGGCTGCACATGGCTCTTCTGCGGACCGCACAAATGCAGATGCGGCCGCACAACCGATCTTCTGCGAATGCGCAATAATTGTGCGGTACGCACTTCTTTTTAGCTTGAAATGAGAACTTTCTGAACTTTTGATCTTGCTTAGCTTCTGCGGCCGCACATTTCATGTGCGGACCGCATTCTGCACTTGTCTCTGATAAGCTTGCCTTCACAATCTGCGGCCGCAGATGATATTCTACGGTCTGCACTTTGAGCTTTTGTGCCTGTTTTTGTTCTTGAGTTCAGATCACTCCTTCATGAGTTGGATTTCATCTTAGTGGCTCATTTTCCAATACTCCTGCAATTAAGCATATTGTATCAGTTTTCGGGAACACAATTACACGCCTTTGGGCTAAGCGAAAGCTAAAAGGCGCTAATAAGTAGTCAAAATCCCTACTTATCATGCGTTCTTCACCTGGGTGGCCGGCCCACAAAGTATCATGGCATTCCATCAGAAGAGTCCTTTGCAAATCACCTCCTTTAGGAACATAAAATCGGTTCCCTTTCACCTTCAAGAATCCATCTTCCATATAGAACTGGAAAGTCTAGCCTTGTCCTACTAAATCAACCAAATACTGTGCAGCAGGATCCTTGGTGAGTAAATCCTGTATCTGGTCTTTTATAGTGGTGGCCACCTTGCTCTCCCTTAGGGTGGCGAGTATGCACACCGATGCTAGATCAGCCCTTTGACTAAGCGTATTAGAAACTTGATTGATCTACCCACTTCGGTACTCCAGATTGAAGTGAAATTCCGCTAGGAGTTCCTTCCACCTGGCATGTAGGCCATTCAGCTTTGGCTGGGTCATGAAATGGCTAACAGGTGTGTTGTCTGTCTTGACCACGAACGGAGTTCCCAGCAGATAGTGCCTCCATAGGCGTAAGCAATGGACGACAACCAATAATTCTTTTTCGTGGGCAGCATAGTGCCATTCTACATCCTTTAACTTCCGGCTCTCGTACGCCACTGGATGCCCCTCTTGTAGCAAGACTCCGCCTTAGCATAGTTAGAGGCATCCGTCTGTACTTCAAATGGCTTGGCCAAATCAGGGAGGGCCAAGACGGAGCTACTAGATATAGCTACTTTTAATGCGTTGAAAGCCTCCGCTCACCTGGGACCCCAATCCCAAGGCGTGGCTTTCTTTAGGAGTTCTGTCAATGACACTGGAATGAGAGAGTAGTTCTTCAAAAACTGCCAACAAAAATTGCATAGGCCAAGGAACACCCTCAAGGTGTGGATATCCTTAAGCGGCGGCCAATCTGTGACAACCTGAATCTTTTGTTGGTCCATCTTGATCTGCCCTTCCTCGTTGACATGTCCGAGAAAGTCAATCTGTTTTTGGGCAAAGGAGCACTTGGATAGCTTCACATATAATTCGTGCTCCCGTAGTCTGGCTAGGACCTTCCACAGGTGCTCCAGGTGCTCCTCCAATGTTTTTCTATATACCACGATGTCGTCCAAGTAGACCACTACGAATTCATTAATATACTCTTGGAAGACTTGGTTCATTAGGGTGCAAAATGTGGCTGGAGCATTAGTCAATCCGAATGGCATGTCCAGGAAGTCATACGACCCATGTTTTGTCATACAGGTCGTCTTATGTTCATCTCCCTCAGCAATCCAGACTTGCCACTAACCTGTCTTTAGGTTTATTTTATGAACACTGTAGCACCACCCAGTCTATCAAACAGGTCTGCCATTAGTGGGATAGGGTACTTGTTCTTTACAGTGATTTTGTTTAAAGCCCGATAATCCACACAGAGTCGTAGAGTGCCCTCATGTTTCTTTTGGAACAGCATAGGGGACCCATAAGGGGACTTCGAGGGCACAATGATCCCCATGTCCAACATTTCCGTCACCTGTCTCTGAAGCTGTGTGAGTTCGGGTTGTGACATTTTGTAAGGCGCCCGGGCAAGTGACTTCGCACCAGGCACCAACTCAATCTCATGGTCCACAGTACGCCTAAGCAGGAGTCGCTTTGACATGTCATGTGGCATGATGTCTCAAACTCCTTTAGCAGCTCCTTCATGGGTGCAGGAATGGGACCCGAAAAGCGTTCAATATCTTTAATACATAGGGTAACCAGGAACGTAGGTTCATGTCTTTTGACTCCCTTATTTAACTGTAAGACCAAGATATTTTCCGCGTCCATCTTTATGGTTGTGCATGGGATAATGCAAGGCTTGACCCCATTTGCTCCCATCATCAGTAGTATGTCTGCATAAGGTACATGAATGATGTTAGGTTGCCTTATGAAGTCTAATCCAACTATCAATTCGAAGTCATCTATGATCACCACACACAAGTTGAATTTTCCTTCATAAGGACCAAGCTTCACCAGCACCCCTTTGGTTATTTCACCCACTGACTGAGGCGGTGAGTTGATAGCCTTGACACGACCTCTGCCCTTTCTCACAACTAGACCAAGGCGCTCTACCAGAGTTGAGGCTAAGTAGTTCTGAGTAGCGCCCATATCTATCATCTCCCGAATGGGCTTGCCATCAACTTTCATTTCGACGAACATCAAGGTCTTCTCTTGGTTAAGAGGAGGCCCCTCATCCCCTATCTTTATTCCTTTCTTGGTGGTTAGGCATGGGTCCTTCTTCATACGGATACCGGCACTGGTTCCTGCTAAGGCCTCAGAAATAGAACAAACAAGTGTGTTGAACGCACCTATAGGTTCTGTCTGGTCAGCATCATCTGTGTCGTCATCCATTCCATCATCAAAAGTTTGATAGGAATTTATTTGTGCATGTGGGCATTCATTATTCCAATGTGGCCCGCCGTAATGATGACATCCTGAAGGGGGCTTCCTCCCCCGATCGTTGTTGTGAGACGCAACACTATTTTTACTTGAGGAAGGAGACTTAGATTTGGTTGTACTTAGATCTCCTCCATTTCTGCTAGGGCCACCATTGCTAGGCTAGCCCCCTTTGTATACTTCTTGGACATGCGGTTGAGGCCAATCCTTACGAGCTTCCACTTGATAGTTCCCAAGACATTCTGCTACTTGGTTCGCCTTGGGTAAAGTGTCTGCCCTTTATATTTGCAGCTCCATACATGCATAAGGTTTCAAACCTTCCAGAAATGTGAAGAGTTTGTCTTTGTCCCCTATATCCCTTATGTTCAGCATGAGCGCGGAGAATTCTCGTACGTAATACTGTACTGACTTAGCCTGGCGGAGCTCCCGTAGCTTTCTCCGCGCATTGCACTCAACATTTTCGGGGAAGAACTATAGGCGCATGGCTGCCTTCAGTTCTTCCCATGTCTCGAGAGTATCTTCACTGGCCCTGATGGCTTCGTATTTCACCCGCCACCAGAGTTTAGCATCACCCTGAAGATACATGGCAGCAGTTGCTACCTTTTTGCTTCTTCTAACTCCCCCACGACATCGAAGTACTATTCGATATCGAAGATGGAGTTTTCCACTTCCTTGGCATTCCGAGCTCCATTGTATGATTTTAGCTTAGGAATATTTAGTTTTTGTGGCACATGGGCGAGGTTCACAATACCCCCGATCTGGTTTATGCCTCCTTGAAGTAGGCCTTGTAGTGCAGCATTGACAACATTGAGTCGGCTTGTCAAGTTGTCTATGGTTTGCTGCATGGCAGTCACCATGTCTGCCTCTTGTGCCCTATAGGCTAAATCCTCGGTCTATTCCTATTGGAGGACCTCGAATTTACTAAAACATTAGGCTGCCTCTGTGGCTGCTGTTTGCGACTCTCCTTCAAAGTCGCGACTGATGTTTGCAATATCACCTTTGGCCTGTCGCATCCCGCGGTCCAGGTCATCCAACCTTTGCACTAGGCTGGTTCTTAGATCATGCACCGTATTCATGATGGGTTGTAGTATGTTAACCGTCTCTTCACGGGCCGCAATGTGGTCCCCATGATTTACCATGGTCGGAAATGGTTGTAATGGCAATGTGTTCCCTCGTACGATGTCGAACCTGTCTCTGATACCAACTGTTACGCGGCGCCTCCTGAGATTCCTCGAAAGGGCGACGTAAGGCTAAGTAATCGTTGTCTGTGCAGTTACGATATGCTAACCGGGGTCCCCTCCGTAAGCTAGATGAGACTGTCAGTGCCATACGGGAAAACCAATGTCAAGAGCAATTGAGAGAACAGAAAAGAGAATTGAGAATGAAAGAAAACTTGATTGCATTAATGAACGCTATTACAGAAAGGCAACACGGTGTCGATGGGGAGAGACACCAATACAGAGAATTATTTGCATGCTTGAAAGTTTTATTTCTTGATCCCCCTAATAATGCTTAAAAAAATAAACCAAAGTTACAAGACTTGACCTAACTAAGCTAGGGAGACATAATGAAAATACAGGAAGTAAAACTACTCTATATTTACAATGAAAATGACTTAGATTCCCACAAGGTAGAAGCAGGTCTGTTGGCAGCAACCTTGTCTTTAACATCAGAGTCTGCACGTGCGACGTTGTCTGTGCGGCGCTGTTGGCATCTGCCTGTGGCTGGGCACTGACGATGGCTATCGGTGGGGCGACATAGGCATATGCGCGCTTGTCACTTGGTTTTTATTTTTATTATTGCATAAAATACTCTCAACTTAATGATTTATGATTAAGAAAAAAGTAATTTTGAATAGTCAATTATTAAGAAAAATTGAGGATTTACAATGTTACTTACACACAATTGCATAAAGTTCTATTAGACGAGCCCGGTATGCTGGGCATTGGGCGTGTCCGAGGCGTAAACTCCGACGGGTGAGGTGTAAGTCTTACGGAACTAAGCTCCACACATAAACCCAGGAGCGTTTTACGAGTGCTCTACCCCGGGATGAGTCCCAATTTTGCCTGTTAAAACAGAGGCCAATATACAGTTGTAAATCTGCTTAAGGCCACAAAAAAGTACTCCATTTTAAAGCGCCCTAGCCGAAAGCCTGAATTTAGCAAACAAATAAATTTCTTAAGAATGACATTAATTTTTCTTTTTGCCCAAAAAACTAAAAGGAAAGATATCAGAACTTTTTTTTTTTTTGCCTCCAAAAGCTAAGTTTGGGTCATATAATATAAATGCTCTAAACAATTCTACTGTTCTCTACGCCCGAGTATTAGCATGTATGACTAAGCTTCAAAAATCAACTTATTTTGAATTTTTTTTTCTTCACAAAAGTACTTTTCTCTTCTTCAAAAGTACTTTTGGTGAGAAGCAATTTGTGTTTGGCTAATTAATTTGAAAAACACTTTTGATCAACAACAATTAGTGTTTGGCCAAGCTTTTAAAAATGCATTTAAGTATATTTTTCTCAAAAGTGCTTTTGAAAAATCTGCTTTTGCGAAGAAGTTACTTTTTTTTGCTTCTCCAAAACTTTTTTCTGCTATTACTCAAAAACTCTTCTTTTTGTTTTCCAAAAGCTTAGCCAAACAACTCAATTTTGAAAAAAATAAAATATTTAAGAAGCTTGGCCAAACAGGCTATATCACTATTAGCATTCATTTTTTTTAATTTTTTTTTTTTGTGTGTGTGATGAAGTAATCCATTCATTGCTATAGACAACATCCTTCCATATTGGTGAGTGTAATTATGGCCAATATTTTGGCTAATGGAGTCCATCTCACATAAGCATAAATATCTTTGCAAAGTGTAGATTTTGTTGGCAATATTCTTTGGGACCCAAAAATATTGCATTGTGTGGTGGATATCTTTTGCACAAGTTGTATCTCTTCTTTTACACCTAAGAGACCAAGACTTTTTTGCCTATAAAAGGGAAGGTCATTAGTTCATTTTATACACACCAACAAGACTTGAGTCTTCATTTCTTGTTTCTTCCTTTATTCCTTTATTAAGAGTGTTTTGTATGAGAGTTAAGTATTTGGAAACACTTGTGTGAACCCTTTCTTTGGAGTGATTTTGTGATGTTATTCCCTTAGGGTATTTGGGATTAATTAGAGTATTTACTCTAATTTTGTACTCTCTTTTGTACTCTTATTGTTATAATAAATTGCTCCTCTCCGCTTGTGGACGTAGGTTACTTTGACCGAACCACGTTAAATTTGTGTTTTCTTTATCTACTTTAATTGTCGTTGTTATCAACTTTTATTGTCTTTGTTATTGTCATTATACCGTTGTTTGGCTAAATTCCGTACTACCCGGATTCCGATCCTAACATTGAGTTTACACGGGGAAAGTAAGAAGAGAACACGCCGGAATAATTATCTTGGGAATTACAAGGATTATTAATTACGTACACACTTGGTGTTTGGATTACCTAGAAAAGAAATAAATCGCTTAAAACCAAATGGTGTTGTGATTGGTTTGTGCATGTCCCGCGTTATTCTCAAGACCAGACATGCAAAATTTCTCAACACAGAACAAGACTTGTATATAATGGAATTGCTCTCTTCATTGAAGCACTCCACGTCCAAATCTTCAAACCTCGTTCACAACAAACACATTCCCAGGTACTCTTTCTTGTTTTGTTGAATTTCCTTTTAAAAAGAAACTTTTTACGCACCAATTGTTCGGCATTTTTGTGTTTCTTACATAAGTTACTAGATTAACCATGTGATGTTTGGCTGTAGGAATTAAAGGAGAGAATAGAGAAGAAACCCATGATCATCGCTGCCAGCAGTAACTCTGATTTTCAGGTGCGAATGTGGGTTTGCAAATTTTACCAAATTTGGGTTCCTTACTATTCTTTTGCTAGTTTTGCTAGTTTGTAATTCTTGAAGGTAACATTTGCTGAATACTTTAGACTGAGAATCTTCTAGGCACTTGCCATGAGCTAAATACAAGTAAATTTTGATAATTTCCATTTTTTTGGCTAATTTATAGAAAATGAAAATCACTCTGTTGTATCTAGCATTCCTGCTAAAGTAGTATATAATTCCACGTGACCTACTTTTCACTAAAGGAGCAACTACATTGTTTTGCCAAGATTTGGTATCAAAATTTGATCATTAGAAAAATATTAGTATAAAACCTCCTTACTTAAATCTTAGTATGTAATTTGATGTGAACTAGAATCAAACTTTTTTTCTTCTGACATATTTTACTATGACCCGGTGAGAAATGTATCTTGAGCATCAAATTTGCACCTTCAGAAACAATTAAGGCTGTTAGTTATATTATACCTGATCTTAATAAGTGTTGCTACTGTCAGTTTTTGTTCAAGCTCATTAATCGTACAAATCATATTTCCTGACAGATGTCAAAGGAAAATGCAGCAGACACTGGGAACATCATCCTTAACCATGACTTCTCAGATGGGCTGCACTTCTGGCGCCCAAATTATGGTTGTGATGCTTTTGTGGTTCCAGCAGGTTCTGGATACCATAATGGATTAACAACCGCTATTGTGTCGAAACGTAATCAATGTTGGCATGGATTAGAGCAAGACATTACGAGCAGAATATCTGCAGGTTCCACTTACACAGTTTCTGCTTGTGTTGGCGCCTCTGGTACTTTTCAGGGTTGTGTTAATGTACTGGCTACATTGAAACTGGTGTATCAAAAGTCAGAAACAAGCTTTCAATCCGGTGAAAAGTAAGAATCTGTATCTATTTAGTCTTTCGTACCTTTCATTGTTTAGGAAGCAATAGTCGTGGTGGCTTTTTTGTCTGTGCAGAAAATCTGTATCAAATGATGGTTGGGGGATGCTAGAAGGTTCATTTTCCCTGTCAACAATGCCTAATGAAGTTATATTTTATCTCGAGGGACCACCACCTGGGGCTCACCTTCTCATCAAATCAGTAGTGATCTCATGTTCCAGTTCTACTACTTGTGATGTAAGTCCAGTGTTGTGCCCATATTCCATCTTGTTCTCATGTCAGAAGGATCAATTATGTGTTAAATTTATGGAATATTAGGAGATTACAGTTAAGAATTGTGTCAATTATCAAAAGGACTCCTCCCTTTATTTGGATAGAGTTCTGGCACATCATCTGTTTTTATCGATGATGATAACACCATAGTAAAACTCGATATGGTGATCGCATAAATGGATGGTCTGCACGAGGCTGCAAGGTTGTTTTGCATGAATCCTACAAATAGATTTTTTAGGCAGCTTATTTGTCATTTTGAGTTTCCCACATAAGCTATTTCGCTAATCATGTGAGATTTTTACTATAGGAATCGAAGGATTTAATGGAGAAGGCACCAATTATCACTGCCTACAATAACTTTGATTCTCAGGTGTGAATGAGGATTTGCTTTTTTCCCAAGTATGGGTTCTTGTTATTCTTTTACTGGTTTTGCTAGTTTGTAATTCTTGAATATGTTAAATTTTCTGAATTCAAGGTATTGTGGAAGGGTTTTTGTCATTTTACACAAGAATCTTCGAGGCATGAATCATAAGCTGAAGATCAAAATATGATAAAAAAATTCTTTAAAATCCCGTAGAAAATGAACATCACCTAGAGTGGATAAAACAAAATTGTAAGTGTGACAGTTGTTGGTATAAGGAAACCTTGAGTGTTTTGTGAGTGAGAAGTGGATTAGGAGAAATAGAGGGGATTTCTGCGTATGCAATGCTTCCCTACTAGCGTAGGAGTAGGGGGAGAATTGTCGTCTACCCTACACAGCTTTCCCCTAGTATTTTTACTAAAGACTTGTTTCCACGCCTCAAATCTATGACTACTTGTCACATTGAAGCAAGAATGCTCATACGGTACCCTGCTTAAAATATTTACTTACTAGACATGTATATGCAAAAATCATAAAATGCATGATAACTATAAAGGTTGAATTGTTAACAATCTGTATTACTATAATATAATATTATGAAATTGTAAATTTCTGTAACATAAACAGAAACAAGTCAAAAGAAAATTAGACAGAAACTGGAGATTGTCAGAAACCAGAATCAGTAAATATATTTCGGAATAAAATCAAGCCCACTGAATTCACAGTGTGTACTTAAGGAAATTATTTCCCTCGAGTACCCGAGGTTTTGCAATATTATCCTTCAAGGATAGAACGATTTAACTCACCAGAGTGATGATACCTAAAACGCCGATGAAACAACGAACCACTTGAAGGCTATAAACCACACTGGAATTTAATTGTGTAGAAGAAGGAGAAAAAGTTCAGAAAATTTCGTTAGGAAAGATTCTGGGATTAAGGCATATTTATAGTCATTTTCTGACACTGTTTCTGAAAAGTTTGCAACCTTTCAGAAACAACCATAGCTGTTGGAATAGTGGAAACGTTTCTCGTTTGAAATATTCCGGAAAAAGGATTTAAAATAATCCGGGAAAGAAACGGATCGGGTTGCGTCGCGAGTCCTGGGTTATTTTGGGTTGAATTTTTGTTAATTAATTAAATAAATGAAAGAAATTTTGTTCAAAAAGATTAATCAATCAATCTTTGACCGAAGCCGAGGCTGAGGCCGAGCCGAGCGAGCGACGACGATGATGGCGCGAGGCTTACTTTCTTTCCAACCCATTTAATACCAAAGGAAGTGCTTTCTCAATATAAGCACATTCATTTTTCTTTCCACCACTATTGAGGGACACTTGCTCTTTCCAAAGTAAAATAGAGCTCACTTTCCATTCACTTTCTTCCCTCCATTTCCCATTAACCAAACTCCAGTCCCAACAATCCCCCACATGAATGGGGAATGGCTATAAGACAAAGGAATGCATGGACGAGTGTGTGATTTACATGCAAGGATTAATTGCATCTGGATAAGTAGGTTTTACCTTTGAACTTTCCGTAGTGAACTTATATCGGATATACTCGGTCAATCGGTAGATTTGATATCCTTGAACCGTCGAGATTTGTTGTATACCTAGACAACATAAGTCATACAATCAACCCTTAACCATCTATGGTTCTCACAGTTGTGTTCGTTTCAGCCATGAACACCGTCTGGTGTCATGAGTGCTTAGAGAATGGACCTTTACTTTCATTCCCCTTGAAGCGGCTTATACTTCACACTCACATAGGTGATTTCTAAACGTGTAATCCTATAGACACACTATCTCGTCATTTCCTGCCAGACATAGCAAATCATTAAGAAGCTTTAAGCTTTATTGACTCATCAAAAAGCCTTAATGCTTTACCTTGATTTTTGAACATTGTCTTCATCACGAGAATGGGTTGAGTTAATTGAAAATGTTGAACCGTTATTTATAACTTTGTTTGATCTCTTTGAACCTAGCTCTTGGGATCTCCAGTTTGCTAGGTAGAGTTACTGCCATGATGACTTGTCCTAGGCCTTAACCCTATTCCCTACGATGATATTTCAATTGCCTCTCTAGATAGGCCTTTTGTAAGTGGATCTGAATGATCTTTCAATTGCCTCTCTAGATAGGCCTTTTGTAAGTGGATCTGATAAGTTATCTCTTGACTTCACGTAGTCAATCGTGATAACACCACTAGAGAGTAGTTGTCTAACTGTATTGTGTCTCCGTCGTATGTGACGAGATTTTTCATTATACATAATGCTCCCTGCCCTACCTATTGCCATTGGACTATCACAATATATACATATAGGTGCCAAAGGTTTGGGCCAAAATGAAATATCTTCCAAGAAATTCCGAAGCTATTTAGCTTCTTCACCAGTCTTGTCTAAAGCTATGAATTTAAATTTCATTGTAAAACGGGCGATGTACGTCTATTTGGATGATTTCCAAGACACTGCTCCAACCCAAATTGTGAAAACATATCCACTCGTGAATTTTACTTTAGATGATCCGGTGATCCAATTTGCATCACTATATCCCTCAATCATAGAGGGATATTTGTTATAATGCAGAACATAGTCTTGGGTATGTTTCAGATACCCCAAAAATCGTTTCATTGCCATACAATGTATTTTATTGGGATTACTTATAAACTGACTTAGTTTGCTAATAGCACATGCTATATCTGGTCGCGTACAATTCATGATATACATCAAACTTTTCAATACTCTTGCATAGTCCAGTTGTGAGTCACTTTTACCTTCATTCTTTTGAAGTGCATAACTCACGTCAATTGGAGTCTTGGCAATCTTGAAATCCAAATTCTTGAACTTGCCAAGTACTTTTTCAATGTAGTGAGACTGTGATAATGCTAGACCTTGTGGAGCCTTGTGAAATCTGATTCCTAAGATCACATCAGCAACTCTTAAGTATTTCATGTCGAATTTGCTAGTCAGCATGCGCTTAGTAGCATTTATATCTTCCATATCTTTGCTTATTTTCAACATGTCATCAACATATAAACAAATAATGACTTCATGACCTGGAGTGTTTTTAATGGAAACATATTTGTTGCACTCGTTGATTTTAAATCCACTTGCCAACATTGTTTGGTCAAATTTGGCATGCCATTAATTGGGTGTTTGTTTAAGTCCATAAAGCGACTTAACAAGTTTGCACACTTTCTTTTCTTTACCCGAAACCACAAAACCCTCAGGTTGTTTCATGTAAATCTCTTCCTCCAATTCTCTATTAAGAAAGCTGTTTTAACATCCTTTTGATGGATTTCAAGACTATACACGACCGCCAGTGCCACTAACACCCTAATAGATGTTATCCTCGTTACTGGTGAGTAAATGTCAAAGTAATCAAGGACTTCCTTTTGCCTATAACCTTTGACAACAAGTCTTGCTTTATATTTGTCAATAGTGCCATCATTTTCCATTTAAAGATCCATTTCGAACCTAAAGGCTTATTTTCTGGAGGAAGATCAACCAATTCCCATGTATGGTTATCCAAAATTGATTGAATCTATCTATTGACTGTCTCTTTCCAAAAAGCTGAATTAGAAGATGACATAGCTGTTTTGAAAGTTTGAGGCTCATTTTCAAGTAAAAATGTCACAAAATCTGGTCCAAAAGAAGTAGATGTTCTTTGACGTTTGCTACGCCTTGGATCCTCTTCACTTGGAGTATTTTCCTTAGGTTCTTCCCGTGGTGTTTTTGGTCTTTCACTTAACGACCCGCATTCAGTTTTATACGGATAGATGCTTTTAAAGAATTCAACATTATCTGATTCAATTACCGTATTAACATGAATTTCGGGATTATCAGATTTATGAACCAACCGACATGCTTTACTGTTTGTAGCATATCCAATAAAAATAAAATCAACAGTTTTTGGCCCGGTCTTTACAGGTACTTGTACCTTTGCTAAATACCCCCACACTTTGAAATATTTCAAGTTAGGTTTTCTTCCTTTCCATTTTTCATATGGAATAGATTCCGTTTTGCTGTAGGGTACTCTGTTGAGTATTCGGTTAGTTGTAAGGATAGCTTCCCCCCCGCAAACTCTGTGGTAAGCCGGAACTGATTAATAAAAAATTCATCATTTCCTTTAATGTCTGTTTTTTCCTTTCCGCAATTCCATTGGATTGAGATGTGTATGGGGCAGTAGTTTGATGGATAATTCCATATTCCGAACATATTTCTGCAAACAGAGATTCATATTCTCCACCCCTATCACTTATAATCATTTTGATATTTTTATTCAATTGATTCTCCACTTCATTCTTGTATCGCTTAAATGCTTCAATTATTTCATTCTTACTATTAAGCAAATAAACATAACAATATCGAGTGCAATCGTCAATAAAAGTTATAAAATACTTTTTCCCACCTCGAGATGGTGTTGACTTCATATCACAAATGTCAGTATGAATTAAGTCTAAAGGATTTGAATTCCTTTCAACAGACTTATATGGATGTTTTACAAACTTAAATTCAACACATATTTGACATTTTGATTTATTACACTCGAATTTAGGCAATACTTCTAATTTAATTAACTTCCGCAGGGTTTTGTAATTGACATGTCCTAAACGAATATGCCATAAATTATTTGACTCCAATAAATAAGAAGAAGCTGAAATTTTATTAATAATGTCAACAACCATTACATTGAGTTTGAAAAGGCCCTATGTGAGGTAGCCCTTTCCAACATACATTTCATTCTTGCTTACAGCAACTTTGTCAGATACAAATACACATTTGAGTCCATTCTTAACAAATAAATAAGTTAAAACTAAATTTTTCCTAATAGTAGGAATATGAAGAACGTTGTTGAGCGTTAACACCTTGCCGGAAGTCATCTTCAGGAATATCATCCCATAACCCTCAATCTTGGCTGTTGTAGTATTTTTCATGGAAAGCTCTTCTTCGGGACCAGCAGTAGAGTAAGTCGCAAATGCTTCTTTGACAGCACAATCATGTCGCGTGGCTCCAGAGTCAATCTACCACTCCTTCGGATTTCCAACTAGGTTGCATTACGAAAGTATTGCACACAGATCATTAATGTCATCATTCTTCTCCACTATGTTGGCCTGCCCTTTTTCTTATCCTTTTTCGGGAGACGGCAATCAAGGGCTTTGTGACCATCTTTTTCCGCAATTATAGCAGTTTCCCTTGAGCAGTCTCCTCAACGATATTAGCTCCCATAATCGTTGAATTTCCACAAGACTTCTTCTTGGTTGTTTTGTTATCTTCCTCAATCTTGACACGAATCACAAGATCTTCACCTTCATTTCTTTGCGCTTATGCTTTAGATAGTTTTTGAAATCTCTCCACGAATGAGGTTATTTTTCAATCATTGTAGCCACTTGAAATGCTTCATTCACTACTATACCTTCAGCAATAAAGTCGTGAAAAATAAGTTGATACTCTTGAACTTGTGTTCAAATGGTTTTGTTGTCTATCATTTTATAGTCTAGAAACTTGGCAACCACAAATTTTTTCAAGCACGCATCTTCAGTCTTGTACATCTTCTCAAGTGCATCCCATAACTCTTTTGAAGTATTCATAGCACTGTAGACATTGTACAAGTCATCCTCCAAAGCACTTAGGATGTAACCTTTGCAAAGAAAATCTGCTTGTTTCCACGCCTCAACAATCATAAAGTTTTTTCGTTGTGTGGCATGTCCGCGGCAGGCACTGGAGGTTCTTTACTAGTAATTTCTGCATACTAAGCGTGGTAAGCCAGAAGAACACCCTTTGCTGCCATCCTTTGAAGTTGGCTCCAGAAAATTTTCCGGGTTTCTCGGTTGGTGGCACAACAGTTCGGCTTGACGAGGCTATCGTCGTTGCCGTAACAGTCACAGAAGGATTTTTATTATCAATTGCCATTTCTCACTTTCAACAACAGAAGAGTTCAATTAATGGCAAAAAAATAGAATAATAAATAATACTGTAATTAATGATAAACAATACGTTTAATAAATAAAAACTGAAGTTTTTATATATTGTTTCACAAGAAAACGATGAAATCTTTATGTTCTTCAAATCGTTTCTGAATTTAATACTCCGGTGAAGTTTTTATATCTTCAAGTCAGAAATAGAAAAATTCAGAAGGAGTAGAAAATCACATAGGTTTTAATCTCCAAAAACAGAATACAGATTACAATATAAAAATTAATTTCCTTAAGATTGTTAAGAATCTGTGTTACTATAATATAATATTACGAAACAGTAAATTTCTGTAACATAAAATAGAAACAAGTAAAACAGAAAATTAGACAGCAACTGGAGATTGTTAGAAACCAGAATCAGTAAATATATTTCGGATTAAAATTGAGCCCACTGAATACACAGTGTGTCCTTAAGGAAATTATTCCCCTAAAAGAAAGTGTTTTCTCAGTATAAGCACATTCCCTTTTTTTTCTACCAGCACCACCAGGACATTTGATCTTTCCAAAGCAAAATGGAGCTCACTTTACCTTCACTTCCCTCCATTTCTCATTCGCCAAACTTCAATCCCAACATGAATCCCCTTGACTTGAAATATAAGCTTGATATAGCCTATTTTTGTAAAAGTTGAATCCCCATTTCTGGCTCCACCAATGAGCAGCTCTAATGTTGGGCCAAAACTGGCCTCAAAAGTACATTAGAGAAACATTTAGTAAAATCCTCCCCGCTCTGTATCTTATGTAATTATACGAACCAGGAGCAATTTTTTTATTTTTATGTTTTGCTTCTGGCTATTTTACCATGGCTCAGTGAGAAATTTTGCTTGAGCATCAAATCTGTACCTTCTGAAGCAATTGAGACTGTTATATCATACCTGATCTTAAAGATTTTGCTGCTATATGTTATTGTTCATGCTCATCAACCATACAAGTCGTATTTCTCGTTGGACAATGAACTCGATAATGAGCTGAAATGGTACTGGACAGAACCACAGCAAGGGAACTTCAACTATAAAGATGGAAATGATTTTCTCGTTGAGGATTGCAGTGACACGCTATCTTCCCCTTTTGAGCATATTCTTGATCTTCAAGAGCGCGATGCATCTGTTGGAGGAATAGGAATTCAGGGACATATTGACACTCCTGTTGGACCCATTGTATGTTCTGCTCTGGACAAACTTGGTATTCTTGGACTTCCAATCTGGTTCAATGAAGTTGATGTTTCTTCTGACAATGAATATGTTAGAGCTGATGATCTAGAAGTTATTTTTCGGGAAGCTTATGCTCACCCTGCTGTTGAAGGTATAATGTTGCGAGGAATGTGGGAGATGTTCATGTGTCGGCCAAATGCACATTTAGTGAATGCAGAAGGTGACATCAATGAAGCTGGAAAAAGATACCTTGCTCTTAAGCAGGAGTGGTTGTCCCATTCTCATGGTCATATTGATGAACAAGGGCAATTCTGCTTTAGTGGATTCCATGGCTCCTATGAAGTTGAAGTCATTACTGGTTCTAAGAAAATTACCAAGAATTTTGTGGTTGACAAGGGTGGCGATGCACTGGTGATTTCCATCGATATGTAGTTCTTGTTTTGACTCAATCTCTCTCCTATAGTATGACTATGTGTTGTGCAAAAGTTGTACTCATGCCTTCTATCATCTGTTCTGTCCATGGGTCTAATGCAAAATATTTCATTTGTTTATTTTTTTGTATCTTCTCAGGTGAGTTAATAGAAGAAAAGCTTCATATGATTGGAGTAACTGAAAATGAATTAATTCATCAGTATTACCCTGTTAGACATTTGTGTCAAGGGAAATCCTTAACTTTTTGCATAAAACCTAATGGGAACCCCAACCACTCAGAATGTAAGTGAAGCATGTGTTTTAATAAAAATCCTAATATTGAGCAAAGCGTAATGTGCGACACACTTTTAAGGGAAATCCTAACATTGCTCGAAATATTACTATGACTTGTTTCAAAGAAACACATCAAATATGAATTTTCAGTCGAAAGATTGAAGTGAGTGTGCTCAAAATAGGACAAAATCATGGGGCAAGTGCAGAAATAGCCATTTTCATGGATGCTATTTAGAGATTAGCTAATACTTATTTTGTCTTGAATTTTTAAACTAAAATTTTTAACTTATAAAAATATTTTTGTCCTGAAAATTTAAACTAAAAAACTAAAATTCAGGCCGGCTAATTCCTCCGTAGCAGCGCTATTTAGTGTCATTTCTACCAAAATCATCGGAGTAAATTCAAGCACAAGGTCTAGAGATCCATTCTTTTTGGGTTGCCCAATGTCCAAGTATATTCTCAGTGGGGCCGAGTTCCATAGACCTTGGTGCCCTTGAATAACATGGGCATGTTTTTAGGTTGAAGTTAAAAAAAGGTTAAAAAAAAAAAAAAAAAAAAAAAGTTAAAAAAAAAAAAAAAAAAAAAGTAAAAATTGGGTCTTCGCTAGGTAGCCATTCTAAAGGACCGTTATTTAGAAATTAGCAAGTTCGTTCTAAATTTCACCTTTTAAGTTCAATTTTACAGGACATAAATGTCTTGGGTTGAGATTTTTAGTTTAAAATTTCAGGACAAAATAAATACGGGTTAATCCTTAAATAGTATCTCTGAGAATGACTATCTACGCAATTGCCCTTGGATAGGGTCAAAATCATTGGAGTATTTTCAAGCACAAGGTCTAGAGATGTTTTGCCATTCTTTTTGTATAGCCCAATGTCTAAGTATATATATTCTCACTTGGGCCGAGTTCCATAGACCTTGGTGCTCCTCCTGGAATAAGATGGACACATTTTTAGGTTGAGGTTAAAAAAGAAAAGGTAAAAGATGAAAATTGGGTCTGTAGAAAACAAGACAAGACACTTANCTAGGGTTGGGGGTAGTGCCACTATCTAATCAAGTCAAATAGAGTTACTGTGATCACGCAAGCATGGTCCATAACGTCCCAATAAACACTGGCTGTTTATTCCCAATAAGTCCATATTAATATTTAATACTACTAGAGGACTACCTAGATCCGAAATGAAATTAATCATTTGGGTAATCTTTACATCCATCCGAACATTTTTTATATGTATCTATGTCAATTCCATCCTTTAGAGTCATTGAATTTTGTTCTTTGTATTTATATTAATATTTAAAAATATATTCATGTACGAGATAGACGAAGTAGAACTTGCTACATCTGTCGATTCATGATTTATAATACCAACTTTTCCTCGAACCCTCGTCTCAACTTCTTGCCAGACATGTGAAGTCTATATAGATACTTAGTTTACATCTATAATTATTTATTATATAAAAGGCAGTGAATGCATTAATAATACTATGCGGTACTATGTCATTTTGAGGCGAAATCAACTCAATATCTAGAGGAGTAATTTGGATAGTATTTGCATTATCTTCCTTTGTTGTAACTTAAATGGAACTTAATTTGTTTCCCAGAACAGTTAAATATTGTATAATTAATTTCTATTAATAATATTATGTACAATAACAACATAACATGCCCACTGTAATCTTACAACAGATGTCTAAGAGAGTACTTTGTACGTAGATTTTATCTCTAACTTGTGAAGATAAATATACTGTTTTTAATATATCCTCGACTCAAAAAAGCATATTCACATCATTTTAAAAAAATCGATAATAGAGAAGTCGAAAATAATACTATCGACATTACTAAATTTAAAATTAAAAAATTGTGACTTCCAATAATCCAAGATTGTCAAGGGGCCCACGGCCCAACTTTAAATAGGGCCCACAAGTCAGAATCGAGTTGATAGACTCCCACCATCTGCTTGCCTTAGTATGTATGATTAAACTATTTGTTAGGCCATCAAACTCCCAAACACAGTACCTTTCCCTGTCTCATGTAACTGCTTCTTCTTGCCCCACTCCACATGGGTTCATTGTTAGCCTATCTTTCCTCTCTGAATTTTGAAGCCCTTACTAGTTACTACTACTATTAATTTTTTTTTAAGGGAAGTTTATGAAAGTGGTAAACTAGTATAGAGACTATTATTCTCATGGAACTACACAAAAATGGTAGCACACTAGTATAGTAAAAATGCAAAACTAGAGAATTTAAGGAAAGCTGGGAAATGGAGGTAATCCTAATAAATAAAGTAATTATCCAGGTCATACTAATTATTTGAAGAAATCAAGATTGAGTGTACAGTTTTGTCCTGGTTCACTTTAAAATTTTAAATCAAACAATTAAGAATTGAAATTAGAATAAAAGGGGGTCTAATGAGGACAAAATGAGGTACGAATTAGTTAAGGAAATGGGCTTACAGTCAACATGTGAATCCTTTCTTCTTCTTTTATTTTTCCATATTATGATGTAAACCGACAGACGTGAGCTTATTATATTTCTATAAACTGCCTGCAACAAATAAGGACGATATGAAATTGTTATTGAGTCTTTAAAGCGTCGAAAGCAAAGTCCTATGATTCATCTGATTCTCCATTGAAATAGTTTAAAGCTCGTAGATTATATTGAATGAGGATCCGCATATATAGACTTCTCTTCTATTGAATAAGTGGAATTTTCTCTTAGTCTTGACTCTTGAGCATTGAATTGACTCACTCGTCTTCAATAGCTTTCAAGCGCTAAACTCGATCCCATTCGTTTCGCACTCATTGCATATTAGCTTGAGATTCTCCATTAAATGGTTCATAATGTTCCTTACTGTTTGGCTAATACCTAATGAACCTTGAAACTAACTTTAAAAAATAGCTAATGATATAAGGATTGTGTATGGGCTAAAAATTATCATAATTATATGTGAGCTTAATCAGTATTAAGAAAGTCTTCAATGTTGAGAAAATAAATATATCCCGCTCAGAAATAATATCTACGGCAAATAATAATAACACAAGAGAGTAACAATAACACCAAATCTTTTAACGGGGCAAAATACAATACCCGAGTGAAACAATATTACCACTATATTATTACAACTTAGTAGTGTCAAGAAACTACTACAACTTCGAAAGAAATAACACTCTTTATTTTAAAACACCTCACTACAATAATATTGTCACTCACTATTTATCTCAGATACAATAATCATTAGATTACTCTCACTAATTTGCTTTCTACTTAGCTTCTCTTTGTTTTTGGTGTGTTTCAAAAGAGAAATGGAGCCTCCTATTTATAAAAAAAATGTGCCTACCATTAGACCAATCACATTTATTCTTTGTAATTTGCAGTGCAAATTGCCTTCGGTTGAAACACGTTTTTGTGACTTAGCCGCCCAACTTGCCAATCTTTTTCCAGCAACCCAACTTGCAACTTTTTCTTTATTTCTTCTAGATGGGTCCCACAAATCTCCCCCTTAATTTTAAATTTTCTTGGTCATTCCGAGTGTTGATCTCAACATTTGAAAATCTTCAAACTTGAGAGGCTTTGTGAAGATATCTGCAACTTGATCATGAGATCTCCCATACTTGAGCTCGACTTCTTTCTTGGCAATGCATTCTCTGATGAAATGATATCTTGTATCTATATGCTTTCTTCGATCATGATATCTTGTGTATGTGCAGATTTGTTATCAATACAAATCTCTATAGCTTCAATTTGTGACAAATTGAGCTCCTTCAATAATCTTCTTAGCCAAATAGCATGACGGGTACAAGATGTTACTGCTATATATTCGGCTTTAGAAGTCAAGAGAGTAACTATAGACTGTTTCTTTGAACTCCAAGAAATAACAGAATCACCCAAGAAAAATACAAAACCAGTTGTGCTTTTTCTATCATTAATATCTCCCGCATAATCACTATCACAAAATCCCATAAGGTTGAAATCACTAGAACAAGAATAAAATAGCCCAAAGTCAATCGTACCTTTTAGGTAACGAAGAATTCTTCTAGTGACTTTCAAATGGGTGGAGGTAGGAGCTTCCATGAAGCGATTTACTACTCCAACTGCAAAGAGTATATCCGGCCTGGTACAAGTCAAGTATCTCAAACTTCCCGCAAGACTTTTGAAAAATGTGGGATCAATATTTTCTCCTTCATCAAACTTGGACAATTTTATCCCACTCTCCATCGATGTGTTCACGAGGTTGCAGTCGAGCATGTTAACTTCTTCAAGATCTCATTCGTATAGCTTTCTTGAGAGATGAAAATTCCATCATCCATCTGCTTCACTTCTAGGCCCAGGTACTATGACATAAGCTCTACGTCTGTCATCTCGAACTCACGGGACATATCTTTCTTAAAAGCTTCAAACAAACTTGGGTTATTACCCGTGAAAATAAGAACATCAACATAAAAACAAACAAGCAAGATATCTCCATTAGTATAAACTTTAAGGTAAAGAGCATAGCTATGGAGACAACGAGTAAACCCATTGTCTTGAAAATTTTTGTCGATGCAACTACTCCATACGCATGGAGCTTGCTTTAATCCATATAAAGCTTTTTTCAACTGCAACACTTTATCTTCATGGTTTTTGACCACGAAGACCAATGGTTATTCAACATAGACTTCTTCTTCAAGATAGCCATTCAAAAAGGCTGGCTTGACGTCTAGTTGATGGATCTTCCACTTCATTTGCGCCGCCAAAGAGATCAGTAAACGAATCATCTCCATGCGGGCAACAGGTGCATAAACTTCTTCATAGTCAATGCCTTGCCTTTGCTTGTAGCCTTTAGCCACAAGTTGTGCCTTGTATCTCTCCACATCTCCATCAGCATTCTTCTTTGTCTTGTATACCTATTTTACTCCAATTGCACGATGACCCTTGGGAAGAGTTATTAACTCCCAAGTGTTGTTCTTCTCTAT